AAAAAAAAAAAAAAAAAAAAAAAAAAAAAAAAAAAAAAAAAAAAAAAAAAAAAAAAACAGATTTTCATTTGTTGATATGAATCATTCGATCAAGTCCTAATTTTCTGTATCTGTACACTTTACGATATATATTACTTAGTACATGGAAGAAAAGATTTTTTTTTTATTACTACTATAGTAGAGTTGCAGGGTATAGGGTAAAGTGTAGACTTGGCATTTAATCAGCCGTCATAGTCCGATCAGCACATAAACCGTGTACTTACTAACGAGAAACGAGACAAGGAGGCAGAGAGGAAGGGAGGACAGCGGTCGCGTGTCAAGCGATGCAAATGCAGACACATAGTGAAACCCATGCGTAATATAAGGTAAGAACAAGCAGATACTTATTATGATGCCCTGCACTCGAGTAAATTGTACACAATATTTAGGAGTGCCATATATAATATGCCAGTGACCCATCAAAACGTAAATTTGTCACTTTGTACGAAAACGAAAAATCCACAAGCACCACTGCCGCTTCCGCCCCTCTAACCCCGAGAATCAGCACCCTCGCCCTTGCGCGCGTCCCCCAAACTACCCTCGGGTGTTCGTATACGCACACACACGTACTTATGCCACAAACGCGCGCGCGCACATACATACACCGTAAGGGCGAAAACGGCCGTTGGTCGACTCTCTTACCCTCGCAACTCGACGTGGGAGTTTGCACAGGCAGTTTTTTCTCCCCCCCCTCCCCACATCGCTTTATACATCGCGTGAGACACAATGGCAGACTGATAGCGCAACGAGTCTCACCCCCTCCCCCATTGGTTGGACGATCGGTAAGATGACGTGTGCTCCGTACAGAGGAGCTGAAGGGGAGGGAAATGCAGGCCGCGTCGTAGGGGGTGCGTCGAGAGCCCTCGTGGATACACTGCGCTCGGAGAGCAGACAGATGCGGGAGCGTTATAATCTATTTAGTGGATTGTTGTGGATGACGACTATGGCGGACCGATGAATTAGCAGGGGCGCCTTTTTTCTATCTTCTCTTTGACCGACTCTTTGGCGGTGGTTACGGACGAAGCGAGTGGGTATACCTCTAGGTCGCTCAGTGAAATTTGTCCATCTTACAAGTTATACCTGAACAACGTTTA